GCAGTTATATAATGACTATTATAATAACTCAATTACAGCATGCAGTGTTAGTAAGCCAAACCTCATTTTGACAAAACAAAAACAAATTGATGCTTTTCAAGCCATACACACAAACCTTCATATCCAGTTTCGTGTATGGAGATTCGGAGAAGAACATCTTTTATGAAGAGCAAGAACGGGAAGCAATCATACAATTGGAAATCACGGCATAAAAAACTTTTTTGAATACAATCTACAAAAACTTACATTGAACTCCACGCACTCCAGTTCCACTATATACTCCCTAATTATGTTAACAAAAACACTGACACGCAGATCACACGCACCTAAATCCCCCCCAATCAATCTCGATTTCGTCTTAATCAAGCCAATAACAACCCGGAAAACGGATCAAAATCACATAAACTCAAACCCTAACCAACAGATCCAAAACCAAAACACATAAATCACTTCACCACTCATAAATCAATCATTTTTACCTTCCTGCACTTCCTCTCCGGCCGCCCTCTCGCCGAAGACTTGAGAGAATTTCCACTCCAGCGGCGCAGGTGGGCCCGCCGCAGCTGACGCCAACTCTCCACTGTCGCCACCGCCGTTCATTCTTCACGAACACTCAGATTAAAAAAGCTGAATCAAAGCAGCAGCAATACAGAATTTGTATATCTGAAGAAAAGAACAGAATCGGACAAGAACAAAGTGATTTCTGCTTTTTCCCTTTCCTAATTTTCACTTCGTTCAGATAAACGATTTAGGTTTCAGGATTTGGAAAGAGAATCGGAATGTTGGATTCAGATTCGGCCATCTTTTTTCTCCAGTGTGGTGTGTGTGTGTGTGTGTGTGTGTGTGTGTGTGTGTGTGTGTGTGTGTTGTGTGTATTACATTACATTACAACATCGATTAGTGCAAAGGGAAGACGATGATTCAGGTTTTCTCTCTCTATGTATAGATATATATTGATGCGTATGTATATTTGGTGCGCAATTAAATGACCTTTTATGTTCTTTTACCTCTCAACTTTCATTATGTTCTTGCACAAATATGATATCATTATGTCATTTACATGTGTGAATAAAATTTCAGAATGGAAGAGGAGGAAATCTCATTTAATTAGGTTGGACTTGATTAGGGCTAAACGATAGCCCCGCTTGTATTTCAATATTAACGAGCCAAACTCGAGTCTTAACGAGTTAAAATCGTATCGAATTATAGAAAAATAGGACACAGAAACCGTCTTTTCGAGCCTTAAGCCGAGTCGATTTCGACTCGTTAACTGAACGAGCTTTAAATGAGCTCGAATTTAACTCGTTTATCAAACGAGCGAGCTGAGCCGAGCCGAGCTCATGAGCGGCTCATTTAATTTAATAGCTCGAGACTTGAACTCGAACTGAGTCGAAGATTGATTGCTGGACGAGACTCTTGAATATGTTTAATTATCAAAATATCCTCGGTTGGAGTTAAATTTAGCCTGAAATCTAGCAAAATTCTCCATAAATTCAAATGATGCCGGGCATTTGTTTAATATTCTCGAGTCGAGCTTCAACAAGCTTGGCTCATCGAGCTAAAGCTCAAGCTCGAACACCAGTCAAAAATTCTAGCTCAACCTTGATAAGAATTTCCTCGATCTTGTGCACATGCACACACATACACAAACAAAAATTTATAACTTATACGAGTGCATATAATACTTAAAATTATGAGTCAGTAAATCGTATTTTATAAATTTTATTATTAGTAAAAATTAACTATATGGATATAAATTATTAACTTACATATAAGTCATTGTATTAATTGTAATAATGTAATTTTACAAGTTTGAGTGAGGATCATGACTAGTTAATTACATGAAAAAATATTAAAATAATTATTATATAACAAAATAGAACAAAGATATAATTACTTGATTAATGCAAATTAAATGTAATGAATTTCTCTCCAAAATTAGCTAAAAATAATGGCTTTAAAAAAAATGTTATTTCATTACATTCTTTACCTACAATTTTATATAATACATATATGTACTGCATTAAGTAGTACTTATAATAAGTACTAATAATAAATAATATTACATATGTACGCTATAACTGTAAGATTTTGATGTATTCATTACTCTTTGAGAAATGCATTTAATTGATTATTCCTCTAGTTATTATCTAATACTAGTATTCGACCTGTGTATTTACACAAATATATAAATAAAGTATTGTGAGTATTTGTATGCATATAATGATTAATGATTTTTGCCAAATTTATAATTAAAGGAGCTGAAATATTTATTTTTTTGAATTTCGTTTATCATATTGGATGCAATGTATATTTTGGTATGTATCTTTTTTGTGAATTATTTATTATTTATTTAGAAATTTCAAATACGTTTCCAAGAAAAGTTAATTGAGATGTAACCACAACAATAACATCTACTCACGTTAAATAGTCAACACATTATATGGTCAGTTGTAAATAAATAAAAAATTAAAATGATTTTTGTAATTTTGAAGTGATTAGTATGTTGATTATCTAATAATTAAATGATAGGTTAAATAAAGAAAAAGTAACGGTTTCTGGAGGGAAAAAATTATTTTGCCACATAAGTATAATTTAATAGGTTTTATTAAATGTTCATGAGCCAACAAGTATATATATATATATATATATATATATATATAATTTCCTTGTCACATTTCTCCTCCTAAATGTCAAAAGTACCCTTTGTCCTTTTCTATTTTGGTTAGGGGAATTTGTTTTTATCCAAAAGCCATAGATGGGATTTGGTAGAGGTAATTTGTTGCCTTGTAAGGTGGAATTCAAATAGTGGGCAATGCATGTTGATGAGAGCAAATTTGGCTGTTTTCGGGTAAGGTCTTTTACGCAGGTTTTGAGGAAAAAAAAAAAAAAAAAGAAGATAAACTATGTCTAGGAGATGCTACGGTCCTGTTACGGAACCATTTCGTTGGAGTTTGTAACAGTTAGATCAATTTTTCCCGACAGTTACAAATCCGATGGAATAATTTCGTAAACCGTAACATTTTCCTATGTTTAGTAAATCTAATTCATATAGCGTATTACAACATCACTTCAAGAGAACTTTTCGCATATAATAACTATTATTTATCAAACAATGAAAATTAGAGGTTTTAATAGATAACACACACCCTAATTCACTATAACCTATTTAGGGTGATTGGATATAAGTTATTTTGGATTTCAGTATATTTGTTGTATAATCAGAGTTGATTTTCAAAAAAGTCATTTAAGGTGTGACTGGATATATGTTATTTTGGA